CTATTCATTAAGAGAATGTAACTATATATCTATCCTAACCACTTTGAATACACAGATACAAAATGGACATTCATTTGTATCCCCTTTTTTTGTTAAGTTCCATAAAAATATGGAATGCTTCACGAATTTGTGTGCCATCCTTGTGCAGGGGCCATGCTAATCTCTGTATCGTTCGAATTTTAGTATATGTGCTGCCGAAGTGAGCACATAAAGTCTTTTAAAGAAGGAGAAAGTAAAGGACCAGTTTATAGTAGACCATGTGTGCTTGTTCCCTTTTGCTAATAAGTTAGCAAAATAGAAAGGGAGTAAGGTGACGTGTCCTTTGTATTTAGAATTGTGTTAGCAGTGAAAAATGTCACTGATTATCTTTTACATTATACTCATAGGAAAGGATTAAACAGGTAACTTGCAGACCTTAGTCTCATTTTTTAAGTGCCTCCTCAAAATGTAGGTTGAAAGAAATGGCAGTTAATTAACCATCAGGAAAGCTACAATTGATTTTTGTCCTGTGGACATTGTAACAAGACAGGGTTTTTTTGAGTCCAGGCATGGTGGCCCACGCCTGTAATCCCAGCTCTGGGGAGGCTGAAAACAAGAGGATCACTATGAGTCCAAGTTGCATAGTAAGACCCTGTACCAAATGCATAAAAATTAAAAAACAAGCAGGTTTTTGATGGCTGGTGGTTATGTGGAAATAGTATAAGAGGAAGAGTGAAAATATGTGAACAGAACTGAAACATAATTTTAGTTGTTCTCCATTCCTATCTCACTGATTTGCCATGGGATGCTTCTTTTGTCAGAGCAAAGTAAGTATAAGTATAGATGCAAATGAGTATAAAAAATTTAGTACTTCTTCAATAGTGGCAATTCCCCACCCCCCTTCACTCCCTGGTCTGACACAGGACTTTGCTATGCAATTCAGGCTGGCCTTGAACTCACTGTAGCCCCGGCTGACCTCAAACTCACAGCAGTTTTCATGCTTCAGCCTCCTGAGTGTTGGGATTACAGTGAGTGCCATCTAATCCTCCAAAATTTTTAAAAATGTAATAAATATGGTAGTAAAAATAGTAGTAAAAAGTGTGTCTGTGATCCTAGCAGTGAATCATTCTGAATGTGACCACCAGTGCACCTTGTTCTGCATCTGCCATGGTTAATCATTCAAGTGGGAAAGGGCAGGGAGGTAAAGAAAGGTCCTTTAAAGACGTCTCCAAATACAGCTTCTCTAATAGCAATGGAACACCCATCTCTGACAAAACAAAACAAAAAAAGGGGGTTTTAAATAAAGGACCATTTTGCTGTGTGTATACGTATATGTATATATATATGTATATACAAGATAGGATAGATATACAGCTACTTTTCTTAGTTCAATGAGAATAAAGGTTTGTACTAATAATGTTTAGACAAGATATCATGTCTGCATCTTGTTCTCTGAATAGCTACTACGAAGATAACAATATGCAATGTATTAATTATTATAACTGTCTTACTAACCTGTTTTGAAACTGTTTCATTGCTATTTTATCCTTTTTCTCATTAAAATGAATTTTGAAAAAGAGTGGTAATTTGCTTTTAGCTATATATATATATTTATTATGATGAAAGTAAGCCATTTATCTCTTTTTTTTTGGCGGAACTGGGGATTGAACTCAGGCCCTTGCACTTGCCAGGGAAGTCCTTATTCCACTGAGCCATCTCCCTGGCCCCAAGCCATTTATCTCTTGCAGTATATTAAACAGTGTAAGATTTAACCATGTGGATATTACACAGTTCACTATATAACTCTCATTCCAATTTTACAGGAAAAGAACAATTTAGAGATAGACTTAAACTATAAGCTTAAATCATTACAACAAAGGTTAGAACAAGAGGTAAATGAACACAAAGTTACCAAAGCTCGTTTAACTGACAAACATCAGTCTATTGAAGAGGCAAAGTCTGTTGCAATGTGTGGTAAGTGTCAGTAATATTTTGTGTAACATTCATTTTAAATGCCTACAAAAATTTTGTTTCTGCTCAAGACATGTTATAGTAGCGATTATTATAAATCATAGTCCAGAAAAAGAATGCTTCCCTTTTAACACCTTTAAAAAAAAAATCACAGTTGTTACTTACAGTTTCCATACACTACTACCTTTACATTTCTATAAAAGTGAAATCTCTCTTTCCCTCTTTTTTTTTTAGCCCTTTCCTTGATTTTGTTTCTCATCGATTCTGGACCTTGTTGATAAATTCATCATCTTCCTTGCTCTATACCCTCAATTTATTTTATAATTTATCTGCTTTATTCTCTGTTTTAAAAAGTGAACATTTCCCTAATTTCATAAAGAAATAGTGAGAGCATGGTTGTGACTCTTAATTACCATCAATCCTGTCTCTTTACCCTTCATTATCTTCACTTTCATCTTAGAGGCCATCCTCTTCCTGAATCCTGACAACTTTCTCTTTTTCTCTTGTTTACCTTCAGCCTTTGCTTTTCACTTGGCTTTATATTTTTCTGCTTTAATTTAATCTGTATTTTTTCCTTTTTCTCTACTGTCTTTCCTGCTGTACGCTTCATCTTCTGGTCTGAAAATGATAATGAATGATCTCATTATACCACTGAGCAAATACTAGATTTAGAAGGTGTTATATTATTATTTTTATGACTTTTCCTTTAAAGAATCTCACCATACAAATTATTCAAATAATGTTAGAACTTCTATAATTGATAGCTCCATCATAGGCCCTAGAGAAAAGCAATAGAGATGTTGAAAACAATTTACAGACCATGTAAAGTGAAAACTAAAAAGGCATTCTTTAAATGTATGTTTGTAACTTTTCTGTCACAGAGATGGAAAAAAAACTTAAAGAAGAGAGAAAGGCCCGAGAGAAGGCTGAAAATCGAGTGGTTCAGATTGAGAAGCAATGTTCCATGCTCGATGTTGATCTGAAACAGGCTCAGCAGAAGCTGGAGCATTTGACTGAGAACAAGGAAAGGATGGAGGATGAGGTAACATCAACTAGGACAATTTTGTTTACTTTTTAAAAATCATTCACTCAGGCTGGTGAGATGGCTCAGTGGTCTAAAGCACCTACTTAGAACAAGCTTTGCAAAGCACAGAGACCGCGGTTCAATCCCCCAGCACCACATGCCAGCCCGCCCCGCCCCCTGGTGGGCTGAGCTGGCCACACACACACACACACACACACACACACACACACACACAAATAATAAATAAAATTTAAAAAGTAAAACACTTTCCTTGACAATAAAGTTCTCATTTAATTAAAAAAGAAAAATCATTCTCATTTTTTCATTCATTTGGTACAGGGTCTTGCTACACAGATCAGACCTGCAGTGATCTTCCTGTCTCAGCCTCCCCGGTGCTGAGATTACAGGTGTGTGCCCAGTTTCAGTGGACGGCATAGCACTTGCAGGGATCTGGGGCAGGCATGGCATGCGGCGCTGGGAATTGAACCTAGGTCCTTGCACTTGCCAGGCAGGCACTTAGACCACTGGACTACCTTCTAACCCATTTTTTACCTTTTAAAGGGGAAGCATTTTAAGTTACGAATAAAGAGCTGTTATTGTAATTCAAACACCATACATTGAAGAAAATAATCTGTATCCATCTTCATAGCACCTAGAATTTTTGTTTTACTTACTGAGCATTTACTTCACAAGCTCTGTTATACTTTGCATTATGATAGTACAGTTATATTGAAATGCCATAGTTCCTCCCCTGGTGAAATTGACTGCTTTAAAAACAAACAAATTTATTATAAGGAATTCTATAACTACAAAGAGAGGCATTGCTCTCAGACTAAGAAGAAAGAAACTGAATAGCGGTCTTCAGTGGCTGAGGTTGATTAAAAAGTAGAGTGCACATTTATATAGCTGCGAATAAACTGAAGAAAGGGTAGTATGTCTTACAAGTTATTATATTTGTTTCAGAAAATATTTGTAAGACTATAAGACTACTTGCAAGTATAGATATTGATAAATAGGCTAGTACAGAGTGGATAAAAAATGGGTAAATAAGAAACAAAAAGAAACAAATTTGATCAGGGAAGAAAAGACATGTTGAGAAACTTGAGGACTAAAGTTTTTATAGACCTTAAAACTTGCCTAAGAACTATAGCTGAAAATATTCTTTCAGGAAAATTAATCTGCTATTGCTAAATCAGATTGACTAAAAAAAAGAGAGATTAGCCATATCTACTAGGACTAGCTCACAGGAGGAGACTGTATGTTGGAAATTTGGAAAGTAACATGCAATGCTGTGCTGGCCCCATCCTGAGCGCACTGAACCAGCCACTCAGACCAAGCATGGTGGCACATGCCTGTGATTCCAGTGCTGGGGAGACTGACAGGAGGATCACTACAGATCTATAAACCGCGTAACAAGATCCTGTATCAAATAAATAAGTTTTTTTTAAAAAAAAAAAAAGAAAAATAGCATATAGTGATTGTCAGAACTTTTCTCTTTTTCTTTATTGTAAAGAGAGAAAAAAGATACAGAATTTCAAAATGAGAGTAAGAAATTAACAATGGCTATTATATTGCATATTCAAAGAAGTTGCTCAGATTAAAAATATAATTTTTGAACTCCTGTTATTTCCCTCATTCTGTGCTAAGAGTTGGAGTTACTGAGGTAAATAAGTAAAATTTTTGCCTTTTTCAGAACTTATACCCCAGGAGGAAAAGTATATTAAAATAGTAATTACAAGAATAACAAATAATTAAAAAGGAAGTACAGAGGGTTGTAGTGTTACTAATCAAATCTAAGAGTTAAGGATCATCTTGCTGTGGGTATGATGGTCAAGGTGAGAACCTAAGAATGAGTAGCTTTGAGTGTTCTTATCTGTACTCTTCCAAAGCAAAAGGAAAGAACAGAAATGGGGAAAGGGGTTTGTTGTATTTAAGGATATGAATAGTATCACCTTACAGAAACTGGCAGTGGTAGGATTAGAGAAATAGACAGGAAATCATAAAACACTGTCAGTCATTATAAGAATAAATATTTGAAATTATGCAGACAGCCTAGATGACTACCAAGAACATAAAGAAAATATGGGGGCTGGGGAGATGGCTCAGTGGTCTAAAGCACCTACTTAGAACAAGCTTAGTAAAGCACAGGGACCGCGGTTCAGTCCCCCAGCACCACATGCCAGCCAGGGCCGCCCCCTGGTGGGCTGAGCTGGCCACACACACACACACACAAATAAATAAAATAAAATAAAATAAAAGAATTTAAAGAAAAAAAGAAAATATGTGCACATACTATGGAGTATTACTCAGCCATAATGAAAGATTAAATTTAAGTTGTTTATAGGAAAATGAGTGCATGTTGAAACTATAATGTTCAGTAAAATATCAGACATAGTTAAATATCATTGTTTCTCTTTTATATGAAACTCCAATTAAAAATAAAAAGCAAAGAAGGAATGGTAGTAAACAGGGAGGTGTAGACTTTGGAGATAGGCAAAGAACATCAACTGGTTTTTGGTGTAAAAGTCTAAAAAATAACAAGTAAATTCCTGTATGAACTACAACAAAAATACCAATAGAAATCTATGACAAAAATAAGCTTTGCAGAGCTGAGGAGATAACTCGGTGGTCTAAGCACCTTCCTGGCAAGCGCAAGGACCCGGGTTTGATCCCCAGTACCGCAGGCTGTGCCAGCCACTGAAACAAGGTATGGTGGCACACACCTGTAATTCAGTACTGGAAGCTGAGACAGGAGGATCACTATGAGTCCAAGCTACATAGCAAGACCCTATATCAAATAAAATTTTTTAAAAAGCTGTACTTCAATTGTCACACCTAAGGCAGTTTTCACACATGACTACTGCATGTTTCATGTACACAGCTCGTTTACACTGGCAGCACATGTGCTTAGCTTTCCTTTTCTGTGTGGCAATCTTGTCACCTCTCTTCCTGTTTCTTCAGAAGCTTCCTATATCATACAACATGCACTTAGCAGGAAAATAAGATGTCAGTAAACTATTAAATATGTAATGAGTGCTTAGAATAGACATCAACATTTTCACATCACTTGTTTACTCACTTACAAAACCTAAAAGAACATCAGAAATAAAAAAAAAAAGTAGTGAACTACAGAGAAATACAGAAGTCTACCATAGAAATAATCTCTGCTCCGTCATACCCTAAGCAGTCCTTACACATGACAGTTGCATGTTCCATACACAAGTATCACACTGATAACATAAATATTCTGTAATACATTTGTTCTTTGTTTTTTAGTGGTACCAGGGATTTAACTCGAGACCTTGCACTTGCTAGGCAAGCTCTTATTCCATTGAGCTATCTCCCTGGCCAAGCTATCGCCCCAGCCCTATCATGTTTATTTTGTGTTCCTGTCCTTTCTTTAAAAGCATTGTTGGCATGTTTTTGATTTCCTTACTGTCCTAGTAGGTCTTTGTAATGTTGTACCTTTCTATTCACCTGTCAGCTCACCAGTGTGCTTCATAATTTTTCCTTTTCCTTTGAGCAGAAACATTTTGTTTTTCCTTTGCTGTAAACGATCTTTTAGGAGTTCCAGTCCCAGTCTTCTAAGAAAACTTCTCTGATATTTTGCATTTGTTGTTTTGTTTGTTTGTTTGTTTGTTTTTGTAAACTATGCCATACATGCTTAATGTCAAGTAAATCATAACCATTGGTCAGTGCTTTGTGTTTCACCTATATCATAATTATTGCTTGACTCATAAACAATATCTACTCCACCTTTAGTTCTGTTGTAGGAAGTGACCATCTCAGGCTTCTGTTTTGTCAGGGTTTCCCTGTCATTATTTCCAGCATGGTACAGTACTTATACCAGCAGTACTAGTTTGGTTTTCTTTGCCATATACCAGGATAATATTAAATCTGTCTGAAATCCAGAGATTGTATTATACAATTCTCTGCTTTGAAATTGCAACATTTGATTTGGAAGTTTCTGCTTTGTTCCTATGTACAGTTCCTATGCTGGCTAACCGGTACTCTGTGCCAAATGTAACATTGCTTGGAAACTGATAAATCAGTTGTCAAATGTCACATTCCAAATAGTTTGGGAGATGAGAGCAACAAGTAGATTCACATCATTTGGTTCATTACTGTATTAATAAGGACTTGGTGACTGAGTACATTTTTATGCCTGAAGCTACAGTGGCGAAATGCTGCAAGATGATTGGCAATAGCCATGTATTCAGATGGTGTGTAAATTGCTTTACTCTTACCCATAAATCTCTCAAATCATGAGCAGATAGCAGCCAGATTATTCATTCTTTTTGTTTCTCAGAAGGTGGTTTTGTCATCAAACCTCAGACAATTTTAAAGAAAATTAAATGTCCTCAACATAGGAGAACCTGTACTGTAACAACATGTAACTCAGTTGTGCTCCCAATTTTCTGATCAAGATAATGGAGCCACAGAGGAATGTGTTCAATGATCTAAAGTGAGCCTGCGGAGAGTCACATGGAGAGAAAAAACATTTTCTCAAGCTTTCACAGAGAGCAAATTGGTCAAGCAATGGC